CAGAACACAGAGCCCCCCTGGGCTTAGGCCCTAGTGAACATACTGGTTGTGTAGAGATTGAGGAACAAGTCCATGTAAATACTGCTGTTAGCAAAACTGTGCTACTTTGCCCAGGTCAGAGACCCCTGTGAAGCCCCAATGTTGTCCCATTGTAAAGGGGATCCTAGGAAGAGAGCCAGCGTCTTCAGCACTTACGGGGTTTTGCTCTGGAGGGAATAAGGGTCCTCTTGCAGACAGAGCCATCCCATAATAGTAGAGATTGCATTGAACAGTGGAAGGTGGGGGATCCTGCCTCTGGGATTTGTGAGCAAAGCTGGCTGAGGAATGTTGACTCTTTCATGTGGCACTGTGGAGGAACTGATCCTGTCTGACTCTGATGTCACACAGGGGTGCAGCAGGGACTGAGACAAAGGCACCGCTTACCCCATGTTCCATGTCCCTCTCGGATTTCTGACCACCTTAGGGCTATGAGAGTGGCTCACTTCTGAGATGCTGAGACTGGGAAGTAACATTACATAATAATTGCATATTTTGGCTTGTTCACTCTGTGTGTGTGTGTCTCTCTCTGTGTGTGTGTATGTGTGTGTGTGTGTGATATACATACAGCGTGTGCACACAGAGGCTACTACATGTCACTTTGCCCTATTCCTTTGGGACAGGGTCTCTCATTTGAACCTAGGCTGGCAACCAGCAAACCTCAGCAATCCTCCTGTCTCAGTCCCCAACAGCTGAGTTAGAGACGCACACTACCCACCCGGCTTTATACATGGATGCTGAGGATTTCAACTCATATCCTTACTCCAAAAGCAGAAAACTCCCTTACCCACTGGACTGTATGCAGCCCCATCTTTTCAGCCTTAGCGTGTCCATCTCATGTAGCCCAGTGCCCTCCCCTGTCCCTGGGAGCTGAGAGGGAACCTTCTAGGACTTGAGGCCTGACAGAATTCCAGCTTGCATTGGTCACTTTGGACAAACAATAAAGGACCAGCCCAGATCAAGGATGGAGGAACAGGCTTCTCCTGTGGCAGGGTGTGTAAGTCAGCCTTCTCGTGGCCATGATAGCTGAGAAAATCAGTGTCAGGGAGGAGAGGCTTCCTAAAGCTCCTGATTTACCAGGCTTCGGTCCTTAGCCCTCTAGCCTCATGCCTCCGCTCTGTATCTCTAGGTTGGTCCCAGGTTGCGACACTGGCTCACATTCCAAGGAGGGGAATAGAAGCTCAGAGACAGAAGACACTGCACCCAGATGCATGCCTGGTGGTCCCCTGCTTCTTGGTTCTCTTCTGGTCCTTCCCAGCATCCTCTTACCGGCTGTCACTCAAAGGAAATATGACCCAAGCAGCCAACCAGCCCCTTCTATGGGAGAGGAAAGGCTTCTACCTGGGGCTGTCACAGCAAGGGCCAAGCTGAAGTTGGGTGGATTCAGTGAACAGAATGAAGGTACAGCTCTTCCTTCAAGCCCAAGTCCCTTGCAGGTGCACTAGCTGAGGTTCAGTTTCTCTCCTGGAGTTGACAGAGGCCTGAGAAACACCAGGGCCACCCAACAATGGAAACTGAAAGCAGCCTTTCAGAAGTGACGCTTCAGCAGACATGACCTGTGGTGTTTCCTTACGTGCACCCAGGAAAGCAACCTCTCCCCACCCTCTCCCTGGGTGCTGTAGAATAACAACACCTCCCCTGCGGCTCTGAAGGAGGAGGAGGAGGGGGAGGACAGGCCCCTCCCAGGCGGTGAGCAGAACCAGGTTTGCCGGTCTCTTGCACAACCTCTCTGCAGGCCTGGGGCTTGGTGGGCTCACATGCAGAGAGCCTGGGCTGCCTCTGAGACAGAGGAGGGGCCTGGGAGGGGCCTGCAGTGGCTCACGCGCAGTAAAGGCATACACAAGCCCTTTCTATCCCATTACCCTCCAGAAGTTTTAGGGGGAGCTGGTGCTGTGTTTCCTATTGTGCAAAGGATGAAGGTAAGGAACTTGGTGGCTAGTCCCCCAGTGGGTAAGCAGAGGAAATGAGTCTGAGCGCTGGGCCTGGGGGCTTTGGTGACATAATGGTTACTTAGTAGCCTCCCTTTGCCTAGGGTTTAGCCTCCAGGCGTGCTAAGCCTAGGGCAGGTGGCAGCCAGACGAGACCCTTCTGCTCAAACCTATTCTCCTTCGCCCCCAGACAAGCCTTTCTCAATTCAGTGGAGACGAGACTGCCAGTAAGACAGAGCAGGACACCTCTACGTCCCTCTGGGAAATGATAGTGAGGGTTTCTGTCAGTTTCATCCAGGGTTAAGATCAGGAATCCCTGGGTATCAGGAGAGAGAGAGTAGCTGCAGTGTGAGCTTTCCTTCCTCTCTCCGTCCCTCCCTTTCTCCCCCCCCCCCTTTTGCTATAGATCAGAATTAGGACTTGGGTTCTAGGGCCAGAGGACTCTGGAGGTTACCTAGCTCAACTCTCACCCCCGGGTGCGGCTCAGAGAGAGCAAACTGCCTATCTCAGAGCAAACCAGTGCTGAGTTCACTGTAACTGGCTCTCCTGGCCCCTACCTGGGGGTTCCTGGAAGCAGCCATCTGGCCCCCACCATCTCCACCAAGACTTTAGCCTTCAGGGAAGGAAGCAGAAGTGAGTAGAGGGGACCAGTGGTAGCGGGGGTTCAGCATGACAGAAAGAACTTCAGTTAGTGACTCCCTGGGTAAGGCACATGCAAGGTGGGGCTGGAAAAGTGTGACAAGAAGGACACCCTCTGAAATGCTACCTTGGCTGACCAGGTAGTTGGTATCTCCCTGGTGACTGAGAAGGGCAGGGTGAGTGAGTGCTCCCAGCAGCAAGAGTGTGAACCCCTCTCCTGCTCTGCCGTGCCGGGGTGGCAGTCTTGTCTCCACTGAATTAAAGCCTAAGCCCTCGGTGTCCAGCACAGGCCTGGCGGAGGACTCTTGGGGAAAGTTAGAGAAAGGTGATGGAAAAAGTAGGTAAAAGGTTAATGAGTGCTGAAGATGACAAGCAACCTTCTCCCAAGGAGAGCCAGAGGAGCCTCTTCTAGAATGTTCCTTATTTTAGCGATTAGAGACTGGGGAGCAGGGGGTTAGGCTGGGTCCAGATCCCTCTGACTCTCAATTCAAGCCCTTGGCATCTTTACCTTATCACTTCTCCACCCCACCTATAGCAAAATGTCCCACCTGAGCTGTGCCCTGTTCTCCACCCACCAGGTAGAGAGGCGCAGTTAGGAGGGGCCACAGTGAGGCCACAGGAGTCCTAGAATTAACTCCTAGCCTCCTTCAGTCCCGGGGAGTCCAGGGAGTCTACCCCTCCCACCTGCTTACCACAGGCCCTGCTATACGGACCCTGGGCAGGGGATGTCTGGGTCTGGTATTAGCTCCAGGCTTTCCAGCAACGTCCTTTTGAGCCTTAGCTTTCAAGTCTGGGGTGTTAATCCTGACTAGAGAGTATAGATGGTTATATGGGGTTCTATTATTCCTGTCTTATGGGCAAGACAGCTAAGTACAGGGACATTTAAACAACTTACTCAAGGTCACACAGCTCAAAACAGAACCAGGGAAATCCTGCTAGAACCCCAAGTCTATTTTTCTGTCCTTCATCTTACAATAGGTACCACCTCTGCAGCCCAGTTTATCCTCAAATCCTGGGTGATCCACAGGTGTTACGGTGTAGCTCCAGGGTTGGGTTGGGATGGAACCCCAGATATATCCTGTGATTCATAATTAGTCTCTGTTTCCATTTCAGCTGGAAGCCCCAAAATATCACAGCAGAAGTTTGGGGACTGTTGATTTGCCTCTCGGAGCAGACAGAGGCCACCCGGACCTGCTCTGACTGTGGGGGAGCTTCGAACACTTGAGCCCTTGGAGGCGTTTGTATCCCACCTTATTCTCCCCCCAGCACCTGAACACCCCATCCAAAGCCCCCACTGCCATTCCACTCTTTAAAATGGGGCTGACTTCTTGTTTGTGTATGTAGTGTGTGTGTGTGTGTGTGTGTGTGTGTGTGTGTGTGTGTGTGTGTTTGCTGCTGCATGCCTGGGAACTGTATATGTGTTCTCACCGTGTGTGGAAACTTGTATGTTTGTGCATGAACGGTTTGAGGGCAGTCTGTGTTGAGTGCCAATCTAATGGCATGTGTATGACTACTCCACACCCATGGGCTACTGAGCAAGTGGGCATGGGATGTGTCCAGGTATCTCCTGAGAGTATGTTTGTAACCATTGTGATGGTTTGTCCCAGCCCAGTGTGCAAGACGGCTAGTTGGACTAGAAGGTTTCAGGGCCATTATGGATTGTGGGCACACCACACACACTTTTAGGCGTGTGTTTGAATATGCATGTGTGTTACCCCGGTGAAACCTGTGAACAACATTTCACTTGCAGCTACAAAGAGTTGGAAAAGTCTAACAGACAGCTTGGGAGACAGGGTTACATCTCAGGGGAAGTCCTCTCCAGGGCCATTTCGTTTCTGAAATCTGGTCCTCCGCTGGTACCCAGCCCCTACGGACCACTGGGTGGAGTTGCCCACAAGACTCCTCTACAATCAAGCCGGAGTCTAAGACTGTTTACAATGCACTTCATAGCAGAGCCCTAGCACCTCCTAGAAGCGAGCGCCCTTCTGAGATGCCTAGAAAGTTGGTCCCAGGATCAGGGCTACGGCAGAAGCACCGGGCTCAGGATCTCCAAAGCCTGCAGCAAGAGCGCTTTGTGACACCGGGCTCCTCACTGAGACCCAAGATAGACCCTCTGGCTGGTTTAGGATCTTAGCTGGTTATTTCAAGTTTTCGAGGTGGGCCTTTCGTGCGCCCGGCGCTCCGCTGGCACAGAGCAGGCACGCTTTCAACACTGTCTGTGGAGAGCAAGTTCCCTTCCATACTGCAATAGGGTGCGAAGTGTCCCGGAGCGCCGGGCGGGCGCCGCGGGTCCGAGGCGTCATATGGACCCCGCCCCCGCCCCGCGCGAGCCACCGGGTGGGGATTCGGCGCGCTGACGTGGGCGGATCAAAGCGGCGGTCCGCGCCTTATAAAGCGCTTGGGCGGGCGGGCGGACGCCGCAGATCATTCAGGGAGACTGGAGAACTCGGTAGAACCGTGAGCGCAAGCCAGAGAGACGAGCATAGCCAAGAGCTGCCGGCTTCAGCTCCCCGAGTGCCAGGATCCCTTGCGCCCTGCTGTGCGGCGTCTGGCAGAGACTGTCCTCGCTGCTCCCGCAGGCCGGGGCCGCATTCCCAGTTCCCGAGGGCGGCCGGAAGCTCCACGAGAGTACCCCGAAGGTGAGCAGTGGCCGTGGGGTGGGATCCGCTAGGGTAGGGAGAGGGGCGACTGAACGCAAGAGACCTCACTATTGGGCACCTACTCTCTGGGGAAGCAAACCAAAGTGGCCTTCGTTGCTCTTTTCCTCACCTCTCTTCTTGCAGCGTTCCGAGTAACTCCGCTTGGCGGACCACAGCTGATAGAATGACTCGGGGACCAGGGGACTGGGGGGAGGGGGTGGTCACCGGATGGGTTGGCTGTACGGTTCCTTCAGTTTTCCCCAGCTCTTTCGATTTGTCCCCCATCCCAGGACTCGGTCCCCTCCCTCGCAGTCTGCGGGTTGATGAGGTCACGCCCGAGCCATCCCGGGGGTGGGGGATTTGGATACTGCGACAGAGGGTGTGTGTGTGAGGAGGCGGAGGGGGGGGGAGCAAAAAGCCGAGAAGTCCGCAGCTCCCACCAGAGCCGGAGGTGGGGCTCTCCGGGTGGTAATAAGGGCACCTAGAGGCAACTGGGAAGGGGTGGGGTGAATTTGTTTACCGACCTAAGCTCCAGGTTGGGGGGTAGTGAGGAGAGTCCTGCCCCAGCTCCGCGTCACATCTGGAGCCGCTCCCGCTCCGAACATCTGGCTGAGTTCCACCAATACCTTCCACGCGTGGCACTGAGGTGCCTCCATGTCCCTCACGGTCTTTGGGAACGCAGAATCCGGCTCCAGCGGGTGGCAAGAGTTCCACACTCTCCCTTTCCTACTTTCCAAACACCGCGTCTCCGCAGTGACCTGGCGCAACATAGAATCTCGGCTGAGCTTAAGGCCGGGTCTCACGCAACCTCGCAGGTAACCTTGAAGCTGTAGCTCGGAGTCCCTGTCTCACCCTTTCCGTTTTTAGAGCTTCGCGGCCACGCTTCCAGAGCGTCCTGCTTGAGCGTTATACTGGTGCGGAAATTGTCCCTGCGCACAGCACCAAATCCTGGGCCAGTATGGCACATTGGGGTTGGGAGAGGTTTGGCAAATCCTTGCCGGTTAGGCCAAGCGGGGAGGCTACCTAAAGTGAAATTTCTTGAGCTCTCAACAGCCCCAAGCCTTAGGACCACCTGTTGGCAGCCAGGGCTAAAGTGCCTTTGGTGTTCAGCATTTGCACAACCCCGGGAGGCTCGTTCCTCCGACTGCTGCAAGCTAAGTAGCCTGGACTCATTGTCCAAGAAGAAGAAGAAAGGATTACTCTCTCTTTATCTATAAGCACCGCTGTTTTTCGCGGGCCCTTTATGAGACTGTCCCCAACGCAGGCTAGGAGCCCAGGCTGAAGTAAGAGGTTGCGTAGTCTGTTCAGGGCTAACCAAAACAAGTCTTATGAGATAACCAGGGCCAAGAGGGAAGTCACTCTGCACTTCATCCAAGACTGGAACATTAGAACCCAGAAAAAGGAGGGGACTTGCCCGAAGTCCCACTGTGTGAGGCCGGGGCAGATCTTTCTTCGAACCCAGGCTTAGCGCCCCCTGGCGGGCTGGGGACTCCCCAAGTCGAAAGCGCTCTGACCCTCAGGGCGCAAGCTGAGAGGGTGACCCAGCGGCTCGCATTGCTGGCCTGGACCTTCTTAGGCAGGACAAGAATAATGTCAGGATCCAGAGGCACAGGCCCAAAGGTGCTTCCTCAGCAAAGCGCCGTAGTGGCGGAGGAAGTCTAGGGCCGCTGGAGCTGCTGGGAAGAGCAGGGAGTAGCTGGAGGCCTGGGTACCTGTCTGCTGTGCACTCAGGGTCACCCCTCCGCTCACTAGGAGAGCTGAGCTGGACACTGACTCCTCGCTGTAAGTCCTTGAGCTTCCTTCTGAAACCAGCCCTTGCCCTTCGCTTCCCACTCAGGAATTCTGGGCGCCTTCGGCGATCCTACATTTACGGAGGGAACAAAGAGACAACGACGGGGTTTTGAGCCCACCCCCACCTCTGCCACGATCCTGCAAATACTTTTCTGGTTTGGGGAAGTGTGTAAACTTTCAATAGCGAGGGAAAGATTTGGATACCGAAGAGATGGGAGGAGGAGTCGGACTGCACCAAAAATTCCCCTGAGATCCCAGCCTAGACTCATTTGTGCCAAGCACTTCGGACCTGGGGGACTCTGTGGAGGACGGGAGGGGGAAAGTATTTCAAGGTTTTCTACTTGGATTCCTCTTGATTCTGCCAGAAGGCCCCAGAAAACTATGACGTCTCAAATCCCAGTGTGTGTGTGTGTGTGTGTGTGTGCGCGCGCGCGCGCACTCACACATGTACAAAACACATACATGTGTACAGGCTACACAGGTATGCGTTATAGTGGATACAGACAGAAGAGGATTAGACGAAGATCAGGAAGCTGAAATCCAGTTCTTTGTTTTTATAAAAGGGAAAACTAAGGCTGGGGTGGTTGAGGGTTTGCCCAAGCTCACAGAGCCAGATGAAAACCGCTCTTCCCTGTTCCAGCGACTTCCACGCCAGCACTTCCCCCAAGTCTGGCACCTCCTTCTTCAGACTCTGTAGACCCTTTAGCGAGGAATCCCTTTGTCTTTGCTCCTTGGAAGGGGAGAAGGGCTGTTCATGTTCGGGGCGAACGCCAGGTGTTGGTAAATTTGAGAGAAGCCGGGAAGGGAGTTAATGAGGTGAGAATGATGAGGGGGGCAAGCCTCAGAAAGCAGCTCCGCAGTGTGCAAGCGGGCGGGGTAGCGGCTCCTCCGCGGCCCTAGCTCGCCGCCTGGCGGTCCCAAGCAACCTCTTGCAGGTCTGGAGCGTCCCAGCTCCGCTAAGGAGCTCTGGCGCTACCTAGTCCCCATCAGGACGCTCAAGTGGGATGTCTGAAGGGGCGCTTCAGCCTCTCCAGAGTCCTCAGTGTGTAAAGAGCATCCACCACCGTTCCGGTTTCCAATTTCCCTTTCCCATACTGAAAAGTAGGTGCCAAAAGGAGACAAGTCTGTTTTCTCCCTAACCTGACCCGCGAGGCACAGGTAGACGAGATAGCTGAACAGTCCAGCACCAACCGGGTCGTTTTCCCATCTCTGAACTCTGGTTTCCTCGACTGAGATGGAGGGGGTGATAATACTGATCCCAGGACTAGGAGGAGTAAAGGCGATCACACTAGGAGACTTCTCAGCAAAAGGGAAACTGGGGGTGAAACATAGAATCACTAAAGCTGCAATAACTAATAATCAATATCGTGGATTCTAATAGCCTGAATCCCTTCCCGAATCAGCTGCCTTGGCCCAGCACCCTCGTTCCTCTTTTTGCGGGGTCGCTTTCATCAGTTTGTCAGTGTGCGTTTTGGGCGGGTGTTGCCTGCGGCTTGTGGTCCTCTCCAGGTTCTCTTCTGGGTCTCCCCGAGCACCTCCGTTCTGCGGCACCCTGTCCTTCCTGGGAGGTATAGCTCTGGATCCGGCCTGGGAGACACGCCCTCGGCCGCGCTCTCTGTTCTCACCTAATCCGAGCCTGACGCCGGCGGGTCTCGGGCGGTACGGGGCGGGAGCGGACGCCTGCTTTGCTGGGCCTCCCCGGCTCGACCCCTCCTTTGTAATTTGAATAAAACGCCTCCCGGCCAGCGCACCGCCTTAACCCGCCACCCCGCTCTTCCCGACTGCAGGCGGCGTGCGCGCAGGACCGGCAGTGGTGGCCTGCAGACGGCAGACTTCGGCGGGGCTCCGGCAGGGTGCGACCCCCGAGAGCGCCGGGCGCGCGCGACGATGAGGGCGCGGCCGCAGGTCTGCGAGGCTCTGCTCTTCGCCCTGGCGCTCCACACTGGCGTGTGCTATGGCATCAAGTGGCTGTAAGTAGGACCCTGCCTTCACTCCAATGGGCCATGGGGAGAGCGGCTGGAGAGGCTGGGTGAGCGCACCAAAATCTGCGAGGCCAAGTTGGTTTGGATGTTGGGGACCATTGATTCTTAAGCTTCGGCCACCTCCTTTGTGGAATACCGTTCTTACCCTCTCTGGTCTTGCGAAGTGAATGAGGGGATTTTCTCATCCAGGCCAGGCTTGCGCAAAGGCCAAGAAGGGACTTCGGAAAGATTCTCACCAAGGGGCACAATCCAGAGGGTCTACTCAGTGCGGAACACAAGGGGCAGCTCGGGATCGTCAGCCCCCTGAAAGGTCTGCAAAGACACTTTTGACCCCTCCACCTGGCGACCTTGGGAGAAGTGTCAACCTAGCTCTACCTCCTGGGGCCTCCGTGTGCTCGTCAGCCAGAAGGATAGTTAGTACTGGCTCTCTGGTATCAGATAAGAGGCTCCCTGGGGAGCTCCTGAACTGCCAGAGGCTGTGAGCACACGTGCAGGGTGTCCTGTCGGGATTAATGGTCGCTGGAGGCAATTTCCCCCCTTGGTTTCCCAGTGAAGTGGCTGCTTCTCCTGTGGTGCCTGCTAGAGGCAGCGGAGAAAGAGTGGGGTTGAGGGAAAAGCAGTCCCTTCCCGAAGGAGCTGCCCCTGGGCTGGGAGAGATAAGCCCAAACTGTAAATAACTTTCCAAGCGCTTTAGGAGTGGGGGCTTGGGAGTTCAGAAGGGGGGCTGCCTGCTTGGGTTACCCATGTGGGTTACAGAGATTTCCCACAGCTTGCCATTTTCAGGCGCAGAAGTGGGGAGTTCTACACGTGGGTGCTGTGGAGGAGACTCCCAGAGGACAGCACCAGGGTGGGGAGAGTCCAGAACCGATGGATGTGTTAAGTCTTTCCTTACTTGGGTCATGTGTAGGGAGCCTGCAGAAAAAACAAGGGGTAGATTATGGCTCCTGAAGAGAGTCCATGGATTAGCTGGAAGATAGGACACTGGACCTCTGGGAAAACAGTCTTGAGGTCACCGGTCCAACCTTTCTGGTGCTGAGTTATTGATTAAATAATTCAAGAGGAATCCCATCCCCATGTCTTCTGGCTTTCAAGAGAGGTGGTCTGCCCTGTGGGTCTCCTCCTCCCACCTCCTCCTGCTGCTCCTAAGCACGCTTGCTCATTCTTGCCGCAGGCAGGACACAAGCCATCGAGAGCACCACCACTGTTTTTCAGACCAGGAGGTGAGGGAGAATAGAAAGGCATTTGCTGAAAGGTGCATGGGTCTTACTTCATGGCTGAGAACCAGGCCTGGGTGACTCATTTTGCTCATAAAGAGTCCTGGGGCCAACGCTCTTGTCCCTCTTTCCCTGTCCTACAAAGAGAATATTGAGGTTCTAGGATGTATGTGATACCTTCAGTCCCAAGCTGGCACGTGCTGGGTGGGGGTTGGGGAGTTGGCTGGGAGCAACACCCAGTTTAGCTCCACCCCAAAGTCTAAGCCCTGACTCAATGGGACAGCTCAGTGTCTGCCTTCAAGATGTGCCCCCAGGGAGGACTTAATGGGCAGCAATGGAATGTGAAGCACGTGTCCCAGGAGGAGAGCATGGACAGAGGCAGGAGCATCCTCTGACCCTTCTTGCTGGGGTTGCAGGGGTGGGGGTGCACAGTGCCTTGCAGGTAGCGTCCTGTCACTGCTCTGAGAGTTGTGGGCCTCTGTCGGATTTGTTAGCACTCTTGTGAGAGGAGTTGGTTCACAATCAGGAAGTGAAGGGACAGAGAGGCTAAGTAACTGCCACAAGGGTCACATGCTGGTTCTCAGTGACAGTGAGGTTGAGATCAGAACCCAAGCAGAGGGCTCAGGAGCTAAACTGTGATAATGGTTGATAATTGCTGGAGGTGGAAGACAGGGAAGGAAAGACTTGGGAGGGGAAGGGAAGCGTAAGGATAGTAGAACCAGGCTGGGTGGCACAGGCCAGTAGTCTCAGTTACTGAAGAAGCTGAGGCAGGAGGATCACAGATTCAACACCTACCTGGGCTACAGATGAGTTGAAAGCCAGCTTGAGCAATGGAGTGAGACTCTGTCTTAAAATTAAATATATATGCATACATATATATTTATATAATTTATACATATATATAAAAGGGCCTGTGAGACCCAGGATTCTCCCCCTCAGGGAAGTAGTAGGCATCAGCAATTGTTCACACAGATGCAGTCTTGCTGTGTGTTGCATGCTGTTTTCCACAAACCCACAATTTGTTTCCATCTTCCAACCTATGCTGTGTGTTCAGTTTCCCTGAGCAGGAGGAGAGGAAGACTTTGGAGGTTCTTTTTGTTTGTTTGTTTGTTTGTTTTGTTTTTAGAGACAGGCTTTCTCTGTAGCTTTGGAGCCTGTCCTGGAACTAGGTCTTGTAGACCAGCCTGGCCTCAAACTCACAAAGATCCTCCTGCTTCTGCCTCCCGAGTGCTGGGATTAAAGGCGTGCACCACCACTGCCTGGCGCTTGGAGGTTCTTAAACAGTTTTATAGCAGATGAGGAGCGGAGCAGGGCTTTCAGTTGGGCCGTTGGTAGAAGGAAGTCTCGGGACTGTTGTGCAGTGGGGGTGGGGACTCAGGGCCAGCTGTCCTGGGGACCATGTGCTTGGGCTTGGAAAGTGACTCGGAGATGAAAGGGACATTTGACACAGGCACTGAAACCAGATGTGGCTCGGTGACCTGAGGTGCCCACCTGGTGGGCTTCTGGGACGGACGGCATAAACAGGTGGTATGGGGGAGAGGGGAGCAGGGTCAGAACTTGACTGCCTAGAGACATGCTGAGAGTCTTGAGGGAGGGCACTACCTCCAAAGCCAGAGGTGGGGCAAATCATGATGAGTTTGTGGGGGGGGGAGCAGGTGTGAGCCTTTTGTCCCCTCTGGGGGAGGAGGGGAAGGAAAGACCCCGGGGCCAGCTGAGGGGCCCTTGGAAGCTGTCCTCAGAGCAGCTGACCTCGCTGAACCTGCTACTCAGCAAGGGCAGGTCCTCTCTAGGAAGAGCCTGAAGAGGCTCTAGAAGGCATGCAGCTGCTGTGAAGTGGGGCAGAGAGTGCCAGCCTTGGAATCTGTGCTTAGCTGGAGTGGTCACCTTCTGCCAGGCAGACCTTGGGCAAGACTTCAGCCTCTCTGTACCTCGGCTCCTCAGCTCTGTTGGAATCCTGGCCTGGGGTCTGTGAGGTCTAGCTTCTAGCTGGGCTCTGCCTCTGTTGTTGCATACAGAAGTGGACAAGTCCGGCTCTCTCTCCTATGGGTTGGCAGTCTTTGGACGCTCCTTTCCACTCTGGCTAGCAAGTGTCTGAGCAAGGCAACCAGTCAGGGCCCTCCTTAAGGGAGGATGGTCCCGTGAATACGGGGTGGAGCAGGGGTCTCTGAGGTCTAGGCAGTCTGCTAGGCAGGGTTGGATCTTTAGCTTATAGACTTCCTGCTCTTCATCCAATGCCCTTCACCCATCTGTGAAAAATAGGAAAGGAGTTGGCCTTGTTCATCAAGGCACTAAGATCCTAAGACAAGTTTCTAGGAGGAAGCCAGCCCTGCATTCCCTGGGACTCTCCTAGGCGCTGGTAGCTTCAACCTCAACCTAACCAGGTATCCTCAAAAGCCCTGGTTCTTAGACCTAGCAAATCACTGAGGAGTTCCAACGCGTCACCTAGGGAAAAGCTCCCCAAGGCCATTCCTGGGAGCCAGATAGAAGCACAGAGAAGGGCTGACCTTGCTTAGTTGGCCTAGATATTTTTTCTGCTTCATGGTTAACAGTCTGGGATGTAGGCCAGGACAGCCCAAAGCCTGGTAGCATGTTTGTTAAATAGGTTTAGGGAATAGGCTCTCCCACCTTCCTGGGGTCAGCAGGGTCCACAGAAACATAACCAAAGGACTACTTTCACTGGCTAACTCTGAGGACCCTGAGGCATGCCGTATCCTTGACCAGGGTCTCCTCATTTTCTGAGTGAAGCTTTTGATGTCAGGCCCCAAGCCCCTGTCAGGCCAACTCTGGGTGTGCTTCTGAGTTCTTTGGAGTCTTGTGCCCAAGGTAACTCTGAGGGTAGTTTGTTTTCACTTAGCATTGTGAGATCCAGACTGCAGAAAGACAGCAAGAGGCCTTGGTCCAGGGCACTCGAGGCTGTGAAAGATAGGTCCATAAGGAAGACTTCTTCTGTAAAGTGGCCTTATTTCAGTCAGGTACCACAGAACTGTCTGGACACAGGGCTACTGGCAACCCCAGGAAGACCCCCTCAGTGACTGACTAGCCAGGAAAGAAGCCCCATGGTGTGAGGAGGGAATGGCCCCCTTAGGACCTTAGGGTGGGAGGATCAATAGACCTGGAGATAGGCCCAGTGGATAGGGGATGGAAGACTGTGGCTCTCGAGGAGTGGAAGGAGCTTCCCAGCTGCATCACTGGAAAACACCTTCACCCACAGAACTATGAGCATTGAATACTATAAACTGGGAAACTGAGGCTGGGCACTGGCAGTGACTCACCTGGGTCACATGGTTAATAAGTAGCCTCGCCAGAACTTGAAGCCGGAGAACCCCAACTCCTGAATGAGAGAAGTCCCCCCCCCAACCCATGGCATAGACTCCCCAGTGAACTCTCGGTTCCCTTTTGTCCCCTCCTGCATCCTCTCCCCCCACATCCCCACTCCAGATAAACTGAAATGTTTCCAATTAGGGCTCTTCTGAACCAGACCTGCCTGCGAGCTGGCCATGGTGGCTCCCCCGCCTCTGCCTTAGTCCTGATTGCCTCCCCAAGGGGACTCACTCACTCAGGTCATTACCGCTAATCAGCGGATGCCTGGGAAGCCCTCGCAATGCTTGGGGGGTGGAGCAGTAGGTGTATTACTGTGCCAGCTGCTTCTGGGGGTCCCATGGATGCCCGTGTCCCTCTGTCCCCAACAGTGGTCTGGCTACACTCTACCTGCCCCCTGGAAAGAGTTTCAAAGTATCCTGCTGAGTTAGCCCTCTGGGAGGTATCCTCATAGATAAAATACTGTTAGCCAGGCGTGGGGTAGGCAAATGCCTGGGGACTTCAGAGGGGAGATGGAGCTAGGGAAGCAGAGTCCCCCCAGATTTCCCCACTAGTTAGCCCCAGGTACTGGGGAGCACTGGGCACTGTACCTGAGAGTAGCTTCAACCCTCAGGAGCTGCCTGTACTGCTCATCAGGAAGGGCTCCATCAGCATCCCACTTCTTGGCTGGCACCCTACTTTTAGGTGAGCCTAGGGTAAAGCCAAGAAGACATGGGCTTGCATGCATTGTGTGCCTCTGGCCCATGGAAACCTTCCATTTTAACCATAGAAAACACAAAAGACCCAGCAAAGCGAGTAGGGAGAATGGAGTTGTGGGTCATACCCACCCAGGCCCTGACAGCTTGTTAGGAAGCAGGTAAGCCTTGCTGGCCATGTTGGGAAAGCTGGACTCCTGGGCTGTGGACAGCTGCTGCGGTGTGCTGAGGAGAGGCAGATCCACACAGGGACCATTTGCCTCTGCAGTCTGAGTCCACACAGGCGGACTTCACAGGTGATACCACCGGACCAAAAGGATCTGCTTAGGCCTGGAAGCCATTGTTCCCTCTCATGGTTTGGACTGGTGTGGGCCAGTTTCGAAGGGAAGAACATGGCTTAGGACACTCACCTCTGATCCTAGGCTAGGTAAGGCATCCTAACCACAAACGCCAGGCCGGGCCTTCTGCCTTCAGGGGTCTGCTTCCTGTGGCTATATTCTGTTTCTGTATGGGGTAGGAGCAGAGGGAGTTATATGGTGGGTGGAGTGTGGCAAACAGGCAGAAAGAAACCAACTTATCAAAAATTACCTCATTTGGCCTTCGCCAGGACTTTGCGGCTGTTCAAAAAGGAAGAGCAGTACACTCTCGTCTGCCAACATGGAGGAAATTCAGTCTCTTCACTCCTTTGGATCTAAGACTTCCTTGGCAATGAGCTGAGGCTACCAAGTCTAGGATCACAGGCATGTGTCGCTATGCCTGACATGAGCACATTATCTTATTTAAGCCTCCCTGTTTTCTTTTGAAGTAGATCATTGCTGCAACTGAGGGCCATGAGGCCCAGAGAGGTTAGGTGATTTGTCCAAGTCACACAGCAGTGTCTCAAGCGTGTGCCTTTCCCTAGGCTGTCTAGGAGCTGAATGTCTGGGGCCTTTCTGTGTCATTGCTGACGGGTCCTTAGACTAAATGTTCCTGAAGACCAGAGGGGACCAGTGATCCTTGAATGTCTGGACTAGGCACTGAATTTTTTAAAATTCTGGATGGCCCTAAACTTCAGTGTCCTTGAGTTGTTGACAAGCAATCCTTTGCACGGGTGTGGACTTTACTACGGTGATCAGTGGTGTGGTAGAATCGCACGCAGTAATGGTGTAAAGCTCTTAACGCACAGTGTGCAATAGCGTAAGGGTCTAATTAATAGCACGTGTAATTATTACGAGACTCCAGCCCTGGTTCTGGCACACAGCTACCGGTGCTGAATGAAGGGAAGGAGCTTAGTAACTCATGGCCAGGAGGTCTGAGGCAGTGGCTGGAAGTGTTTTTGCAGACTGCAGACATGTCTATTCCTAAAGCAATTATACGATTCAGGCGGGATAAAGGATGTGATTCTCTGTTAGGATTAGGGTGTGAGGCCCAGAGAGAGATAGTGTTATGTCCAAATAGCAGGTGGTTGGGCTAGGGCAAGCAAACCGTTGCTCTGCCACGTGACTCTTGGCAAAAATAATTCTGAGTCTGTCCGCGGGGAGAACTGACCTGCGGACCAAACGCCCCTCACACCTTGTCTTTTTTCCATTTGGTGGTTTTCGGGGTATGCAGAGCACTGTCCAAGACGCCAGCAGCTCTCGCGCTCAATCAGACGCAACACTGCAAGCAGCTGGAGGGCCTGGTGTCTGCGCAGGTGCAGCTCTGCCGCAGCAACCTGGAGCTCATGCGCACCATCGTGCACGCGGCGCGGGAGGCCATGAAGGCCTGCCGCAGGGCCTTCGCCGACATGCGCTGGAACTGCTCCTCCATCGAGCTCGCCCCCAACTACCTGCTTGACCTGGAGAGAGGTATGGGCTGTGGGGCGCCGCGCTGCTGTGGCGGGAGGATCCCAGCGGAAGCTCTGTGTGTTTGGATAGGTGCGTGGATTCATGGGTGGACGGATGAGCGACAAGATGGATGGTTACACAGATGGATAAGCCATGGCTGGGCGGACGCTTGAGCGGATGAGTCATTCATAGATATGGGTTTCAGGCACTAACTGCGGAATGAATAAATATTAATGGGTGAATATATCAGCACATACATTGGCCCGAATAACGCTTCGGGACACACATGTGCTATAATGCACGGATGAAGGAAGGATATTGCCATAGACTGCACCAAGGTGGCTCCCTGCTGTTCTGAAAGCCATGTCAATATAAGGAGACTGGTGGATAGCCCGCCCCTGGGCAGACAGGTGGACCTAGGCAAACCTGGTTGGCAGGAACTGCTTTGTTGCACAAAGTAGTCTGGGCAGCAGCAGATAGCTTTGAAGCAGGCTTCCAGGAGGGAACCTGAGTGCACACAGGCTAATGCCCCACACAACCGCTTTGTCAAGCATCCAGGCATCACAGGGTCTCAGATCAGTCCTTACGCCCGCCTTGCTGAGATGTCGGAACACCAGGGAAGGCTTGTCAGGTGGGCTCTACAGTTAAGGAAATTGAGGTTCTGTAGGGGTGGTAACTGCTAGTTATGAGACAGGGCCAGGATTCAGATGTGGGACCAGGACGGCCTGGAATGGAGTGGGACCCCAGTGGCTCATTCCTGGGGCTCTGTCACAGTGTCCTTGTCCTGCATACTGGCTGCCTTCAAACGATGGACATGTCCTGTCCCCAGCTGTGAGTAGCGCCCAGACTGTAATCCCACTGCTTGAGAGGCTGTGGCAGTAAGATAGCTCCAAAGCAGCCTGGCAGAAGCCGCGAGTCTGTGAATGAGTTCTCAGCAGGGCTATGCTGTCTCCCTGGGTCCCGGGAAGCTCCTGGTGGCTGTGGGTATTCTGCAGTACTCGAGGTCCGTGACAAGCAGCCCATATGTCATGTGGTGCCCCCATCTGTGTCTGTGCATCCCAAGTTCCCTCCTGCTCTAAGAACACATGACCAGGATGGTCTCATCTTAACAGTGAGATTCTCTCGCAAAGACTGGGTTTCTAAATTGACTCTTAGTCCTGAATTTCCACCAGGGCTTAGGGGGCTGAGGTTCTTGCTTACGTAAAGCACCCTGTGACTAGCAGGCTGGTAGCCCTTGCCAGTCCTTCTGCACTGCTCTGGGGACAGCTGGGTCCCTCTGTGTTGTCCTCTGTAAGGGTGGAGTAAGATGACCTCAGGCCAAGGCCCCGCTAACCCTCACCTCTCCCACAGGTACCCGGGAATCAGCCTTCGTGTATGCCCTGTCGGCCGCCACCATCAGCCACACCATCGCCCGGGCCTGCACCTCTGGCGACCTGCCCGGCTGCTCTTGCGGCCCTGTCCCAGGTGAGCCACCCGGGCCCGGGAACCGCTGGGGAGGATGTGCGGACAACCTCAGCTACGGGCTCCTCATGGGGGCCAAGTTTTCCGATGCTCCTATGAAGGTGAAAAAAACGGGATCCCAAGCCAATAAACTGATGCGTCTACACAACAGTGAAGTGGGGAGACAGGTAACCACCCCCCACCTGCCCCAGAGGGTGTGCCTGGGCCACTGGCTGGAGAAGGGCCCGCCCCATGGTGGGCCCCATGAGGGTGTGGGAGAGGGGATGGATTGGGACCCTGCTGCTCTCCCCTCTCTAGAGTTCAGGCTCGCCTGCCCCTTCTCCTCCCTGGGTTGCTCCAAGCAGAGGGAACAATGAGCTGGGAGCCCAGAGCTCTGAGTTCTGCCCTTGGCGCTGGCCCTGACTTCCTGCAGGGTGACTTACTTCCTCTCTGGCCTGGTTCCTTCCCAACTGTAAAGCAGGGTGGGCCCTCCTGCAAGTTCCTCAGCCTTCCCTAAGGACAGGGAGGGGGCTGGACCACAGACTTTACACTACACCCCCTCTTTGTAATGGGGAGGGGTATTCTATGCTGCCTTGAGAACATGGTTTCCCCAGCATCTGCTACCAGTGTCTCCCTGTTTCTCGCTTACTACCCAAAAGACTGGGCAAGTGTGGGAATGAATGAACCAAATTAAACTTTTACATGTATGTATATGCGTGTGCGTGCGTGTGTGCGTGTGTGTGTGTGTGTGTGTGTGTGTGTGTTTTAGGTGAGAGTACAACTTGGGAGAGTTGGTTCTCTCCCACTGGGTTCTAGGGATCCAGCTTAGGTCTTCGGGGTCCGCGGCCATCACCTTTACTTCTGAACGATAAATTGTGGTGTGACCAATCTGTGGTGTGACCATGCGTTCCCTGCTCTATTCTTTCCCTCCTGGGATCCCAGAACAACCCCCAGAAGGTTCTGTTGTCCCTTTCTCACCGATAGGGGAAGGCCCCAGGAAGAGTGTCCTATGTAGCAGAAGGAATCTCTCACATGGTTTAGCCCTGGTGGCTCAGTCAGGAACACATGGTCTGAGGAAGTCGAATCTGTGCAAACCCACCCACCTTCACCTGTCCCTGGTGACCCTTGAATGTCCAGGTTATCCTTGGACAGTCTGGGAAAACTGAGATCAGATCACACTAGCCAGGAGCTCCTGCCTCCCAGCCCTGGGACTGTCCCCATTGTGGGAACCCAGAGAGCTTTTACCTAGCTCAGCCTCCAGCTGGGTTGCTTCCCGCCCTCCCTCCCTACCCCGAAACTCAAGTGCAGTGCAAGAGGATACTTAGTTTCCATCTCAGGACACATCAGTCTGTTCTTAGAGCCACCTGCTAACGGCGAATGCTGTTCCCTGTAGTACAGGGCTGTGTGAGAATTAAATGACATCAGAACCAGGCAATTTAGCACCTGCCCTTGAGTGTCCAGACCTTTTCTGACCCAATTCAAGGATCCGAGCTTCAAGGCTCTGTCCCTGGTGCCTGTGCCTCCTTCTTCTCCCTCCTAGGCTTCTAGCAAGTTCCAGATTTTATACCTAGTATGCTTTCGGAGTCTCCATTTCCTGTTGCAATGATAAGGATGGTCCCTGACACTTTGCCTAGCTACCCACCAACTCACTGACTGACTGAGGGACTGGAGCAAGGCCAAGCCAATCTTCGCCTCAGTTTCCTCAGCCACGTGATGCAGGGTGTGAGTACAGGTGACCCATGACCCTTGCAGGACAAGGGAGAGGGAAGTGTCCTGTGAGCAGGGGTTTGAAGAGCCAAACAGAAAGGTCCTTAGAAGGTGTTTGACCTCTGACCCTCAGACACCAACAGGAAAATGAGGCCCAAGGAAGACTTGGGGGGGAGAGTCGTTTCTCAGTCCAGGGCTGGATCCTGCCTAACGGCCTGGCCCAGGGGTTTCCAGTTTCCCCCACAGCTCTGATTTAAACTGCATGTTCAGAGCCAATATTGATTTAAACTGTTATAACCCACACACCCCTTGGTACGGCTCATTTAACCCTTACAACACTCATCCAGGGAGCAGCAGCATGCCAGCTTCAGACTTCAGAGCAGAGATGCTGGGTGGTGACAGTCACCTGGCAGCTGTGAGTGGGTCCAGAAAGAGGTGCACCCCCATACTGTCTTCTTCCTGTCTCACCATCCTTCCCCAGCTGCCTTCCTTCTTGCTTTTCTTGCTGCTCTTTGGGCAAGCCTCTAGTAAGTCCTGGTTTTGTGGGAGAGAGAAGGCGTGGAACAACTGAAAGTCAGCTTTTGGAATCACTGTCAGATGTAGGTTCAAATCCCAGCCCCGCAATCTTCTTACTGCAAACTTGGGGGTCAGACATGGCATATCCACGCCTTCCTGTCGAGGGCAGGGCAAAGAGTGGGTCTCCCGGATGGGCTGTGGCAGCTGTGTTAGGACATTTGTGCTGAGTGTATATCTGCGAATGCCACTCTTCCTGCCTACCCCTCTCAGCTGCCCTGGAGTGGAAGCATGACCCCCACCCCCCGACTTTAGTGCCAAATGCTCCATCCCTTGAGGATCCAGTGGGACATGAACCCCCAAGAATCCCCAGGCATGAATCCCAGGGAAGCCAGAGCCCTGACAGGCCAGGGAGGGGTTCTGGCCATCCCGCCGACATCCCGCCGACACCCCGCCTGTCCACAGGCTCTGCGTGCCTCCCTGGAAACCAAGTGTAAATGTCATGGAGTGTCTGGCTCCTGCTCCATCCGCACCTGTTGGAAGGGGCTGCAAGAACTGCGGGATGTGGCTGCTGACCTCAAGACCCGCTACCTGTCGGCCACGAAGGTGGTGCACCGGCCTATGGGCACCCGCAAGCACTTGGTGCCCAAGGACCTGGATATCAGGCCTGTGAAGGACTCAGAACTGGTGTATCTACAGAGCTCCCCGGACTTCTGTATGAAGAATGAGAAAGTGGGATCCCACGGGACCCAAGACAGGTAGGTGCCCTGCTACCTACACCCACGCCGCACTCAGGGCTGGGCCAAGCACAGTGGTGACTCAGCACTTGGAGAGTAGAGTCCTTGCCCAGTGTCGGGAGGAGGTTCCAGGGAGACCGAGGGGACTTGGGGATAGAGGCTGATGGCCCCACCTTCTTCCTAGATGGGAGGTAACAGGGGCAGTACTGTATGACAGGGACTAGGAAGAGCTGCCCAACAGAAACAGGAGCTCAGTGGATGTCCCACGGACAGGTGAAGGATAAATGCCCCTCCTGCTGGTTGGACAAAGGAGGAACTGAGAGGCACAGGAGAGGTGCAGGCAGCATCCAACCTAATGCAGCCGAGAAAGTACCCAAAGCAGAGCGGATGAACTGTCCCCTGATAAGTGCCCGCCTGGCAGACTCTAGTCCTCCCGTGTCCCCTGGGGACTATGTAGGTTGGGCCTGGGGTCTCCATAGCTGGCCCAACCCTGGCTCTGAATAGGGAGACAGGAAAGACAAGGAAGGGGACCGTGACTGTGTGCCTGGTGGGGCTGTTACGGAACTAGTGGCTGCTTTCACAGAGAGGGTTCCTGAGAACCTAGGGAAGAAAGTTCTATGATCAGAGGCACCTGGGCAGCTAGCTGGCCATCCCCAAGGCTTGAGGGAGCCTCAGCTAAGGATTTGATTAAACCGAGTTTCCCCGAGGTACACGGCCGGGGAACTCTTTTATTAAGGAGCTGCTCACAGCATTCCACGAAGCTGGTGCTCACAAGGTTAGGGAAATACGAAGCAGAGAGCGGGTGTCTGGGAACATGTCTGGCACATAGTTGGTGCCCGGCCAGCTTCTGCTTCCTCCGCAGCCCACGGTCTTGCCTGTGAGAGGGGAGGGCCGGTTTGGGGCTCTGTCCCTATGGGCTGGGGCTCTGTGAGGAAGAGGCCCAGGCTCCCATCTGGAGGCCAGATTGAGGGGGTGGGCAGGGTGGAGATGGAGTGGGTCAGGCAAAGGAGACAGGAAGGAGCGTGAGTCGGCTTTGAAGCGGCAGGGTGAGTGTGAGCGGCTGAGAAGGGGAGTTGAATCTGTAACACACAGGGGCTGGGCACAGGGCCCTAGAGGACTTGGAGTGAGCAGAGAATCACAGAAGACTCTGCCTGCCTTGTACCAGCGAAGACTCTGCCCATAGGCTGTGGGTTAGCACCCTGTCTCCTCAGCCCTCTGCTGTTCTGTCCCCAACTGTATCCCTCAGACAAGTCCCTCCTTAGCGCTCACCCAATGGACAGTTCACCTGAATAGCTGCCTCTTTATCAGGCAGGCGGATGGACCTTCCTGGCTCCTCACCTCCTGCCATAGCTTAGGGGAGGAGGTTGAGCAGTAGCCTTGGCACCAGTGTTAAGAGAGAGAACTTTTGCGTGTCCCTCATTCCAGTGAGAGCAGCTGCTACCATGCATTGCATCTGCTTCACAAACAGAAGGGTGCGGAATGCCTCTGGGGAGGTGTCATTGCCACTGCGGGCTCTCTTAGACACCTGCATGCCTGCACTCAGCAGACCCAAGTGCCCAGGCCCAGCTGGCCTCCTGGGCTGTTCTCAGTGTTGCAGAATGTCTCCTGAGTTTTTTGATTGTGAAAATGACACTCACCTCCATTACAGCTTAATTAAAGATTAATTATAAAGGGAGGGCTCTGGGGAGGAGGTGCAATTGGTAAAGGTACCTGCCTTGTAAGTTTTAGGATCAGTCTGGCGGTGGTGGCACACCTTTAATCCCAGCACTTGGGAGGACAGACAGGCCGAACTCTGTGAGTTTGAGGCCAGCCCGGTCAGTCTACCGAACTGGTTCCAGGACAGCCAGCCAGGGCTGTCACACAGAGAAACCCTCTCTTGAACCTCCCCTCACCTGCCACAGGTGACGATCTGAGTTTATATCCCTACCACTTGCGTGACAGCATAAATCTAGAACCCTAACAGTGAGGTTGATGATGGAGGGATAGGAAGGTGCCCCGGAACTCACTGACCAGTCTTGCCAAGCGGATCCCTGGGCTCTGGGTTCAGTGAGGGATTCTTTCTCAATATGTAGGTAGGTAGGTAGATAGGTAGGTAGACAGACAGACAGACAGACAGATAGACAGACATTCAATGTGGACCTCTGCCTCCAAATAAATACATGCACACATTTGTGCATACGGACTACTACCACACATATACTACATACACACATTTTTCTAAGGATTAAATATGAAGTCAGGATTAATAGGTATTGGTTTGAGAGTTCTTCTAGTATTTAGAAGAAGAAGAAGCAGAAAAACAAAAGGAAACCAGACAACTCAGGAAGTAAAATAGCCCCAACAGTTCCATCAGAGCTTATTGTAAACACAGGGAAGTTAGCAGGGAGGAAAGCCTCGGTTTCCCCTCAAACTGATCCCACTTCTTGCAGGGCTGGGCCAGCCACAATGGCCAGGGTGCAGGCTGCTTGGCAGGGAGAGGCAGGTGCTGGTGGTGACGACGCTCACTGACCTCTCGTTCCCACCCCCAGGCAGTGCAACAAAACCTCCAACGGCAGTGACAGCTGCGACCTCATGTGCTGTGGGCGCGGCTATAACCCCTACACGGACCGCGTGGTGGAGCGGTGTCACTGCAAGTACCACTGGTGCTGCTACGTCACCTGCCGCAGGTGTGAACGCACCGTGGAGCGCTACGTCTGCAAGTGAGGCTGCGCGCGCTTTGCCCCTGCGCAGGGGTGCCGATCCCCCCGAGGACCCACTGAAGGACCTGGAGACCCCGTGGACTTCCCTGCCGATCCCAGATGCCAGGCGTGGGAGGAGGCTTGTGCTGTGACTCCATTTGGAAGCCACCGGGAACAGGAGGCCTGGTCGCCCTGGGAGGGCCGGGGCATCAAAGGAAACCGATAGGATTAAAAATAACCTGGCAGCCTGGGGCCTGAGTGCCCACATGTTGCCTTCCAGGCTGCTCCAAAAAGCCAGGGCAGGGATGGGTAGGACTGTGTGCGTTTGACCTTTCAAGGCCAGAAAGACCAGCCTCCCAGAATGTTCTTTGGGACCCTGTGCCCACCACATGGAACCACTAACTTGGGTTGTAAATTTTTATTTTTCTTTCCCCTCTCCTTTGGGATGCGGGAGTTACAGAAATATTTATAAAATATAGCTTTTTCTTTGGGGTGGCTCACTTCAATTCCTCTTTATATATTATATATAAAATATATATATGATGGTTATATTTTAAACAACTGTGTGCAATGAATGCTGAGCAAGCCCCAGCCTGCCCCCAAATCTCTAGCTCCTCAAGTGAACCCAGAAGATCCTGGTCTGGTGGGAGGACTCTCCAGTTTCTAGACAAGGCGGCCTCCCATTGATGTCTCAACTCCACCCGGTCCCGGACCTGGTCCTGGCCTATTTCCCTGTCTGTGATCTGTTGGTCAAGGGTGAGGACAGACGTCTTGAAACATAAACCCAGTTGGCAGTGTCTTTATTCCTCAGGGATATTCTTACTACCACAGCACGGCCGTTGGCCTTGCTTTCAGACCCATTAAGCTGGCTGCAAAAGAAGCCACCCCGGGAAGCTGGGACTTTAGCGAGGTAGCCCTGGTGGGTTTTCGGTGGGACCCCAGACAGTGGAACTGGCTCCTACTGTTGCCCCATCTGTGAAGCTGGGAAAGATCCAGGCTCACAGCTCAAGCCTGGACCAGGCTTGTGGTAGAGGGCACGCTGAGATGCGGGGACCAGCAGGACATCTTCTCTTTCTCATTTTGGATGTGGGGCAGGAAGAACTGTTTGGGTTTGGCGTGAGTGTGGGGAAGGACGGAAGGCCAACCACAAGCCGGACTTCGGTGACACAAATGTAGACGGAGGTGCAGGTTGGATGAGCAGCCATTAGGTTCTGGGATTCTGGGGGAGGCCCGCTACAGAGTCACCTTTGCCATTACAGCTAAGTGAGTCGACTAGGAAAGCCAAGAGGACCTGTGATGTCTATCTACAGGCTGCAGGTGGAGAATCAAAGGAGCCAACGAGGGAGGGACAGCCAGAGAGGAGGCAAGAGCTGGGGTGGGGTGGGGCACCCCCCTCTGAGCAGTAGCTTCCTTCCTCTTTAAAGCTTATTAACAATGGAGACAAAAGTGCATCCAAAACTGAGGCTCCTCAGACTTGACCACAGCTTCCCTGCTGGCCTTGAATTTCAGAGCTGCGGTTCACAAGGCTTTGTTGTTGAACTTTCTGGTTGGCTAGGAGCTAGGCAACCAAGCAGGAGGCAGATCACTGGATCCCGGAGGGCTCCTTACCCCAGGCTTGGGGTTGAATCCTGCTGGATCCACTCAGCAGGGGGCAGGGCTTCATCTGGGCCACAGCAGCCCTGGAGTTTACTGTGTTCAGAGATATAGAACTCTGTACCTGCGGGTTTGGGAGTGAAACCTTCCGTCATGCCCTGGATAGCCCGTTTGTACCATCCTGAGTCAGGGGCGGTCATCGTAGACTCTGAACCCCTGTGCTGAGCAGCTTAGACCTGTGTGGGAGGCTGGCTAGAGTCTCCGGAGACAGGCCTGGGGAGAGACAAGACGGCGGGGAGGAAACAGGAACTTTCCAAGAGAGAGAAAGATTACTTTGTGGGAAAGGAGAGAATGGACAGATAAGGCCCTGTGGAGAGGTGGCTCAGGCCAAAGCAACCACACCATGTGGGGTCCGGCCCAGCCCCAAACATCTCTGCTGTGTTCTGCCACAGACCAGGCCCCGGACAGGAGTCCAGACCCAAGAGAAGCCAGATGTTGCACAAAGAGCATCACCCAGCATCTTGTTTACCCTCTTGTGCTGTGACTCCAGGCAACCTCTGGCCCTCTATGGGTTTCTGCGGCTGTTGTCTGGCTTTCCTAACTATTCCATGGCATAGGGTCCACCACCTCTGTTTTATTCATGAGCAAATAGGCTCATAAAAGGAAAAAATAATGCGGTTTAAGGTCATGGTATACCAGTGGCAAAGTCAGGATTCAGACTCCAAGCGGTCGGACTCCGACTTCTAAACCTGTTTCCGACTTCCTCTGCTGAGCGGGGCTTGGTGTCATACGGGAGGGAGAGAACAGTCCAGGACTGAGCAGTTTGGATGTCTGTGGCTCTACTGCCAGGCTCTCTCCGAATGAACTACTACTGAGCTGTCCCTGACTGTCCCCCAGGCCACCACCCACCTGCGGAGATGGCTGCAGGTGGAATCGTACTTTTAGCCGGTCCCCTTGCTCACATGACTAAATCAGTATCCTCTCCCCAGGCTGGTGGCTGCAAAGGACGCTTTCTTTTTCAGTCCCTAGATCTCCATTGCCTCACCCGCCTAGGCCTCGGGGTCAAAGTTAGGGGTGACTGAGGGAAGAGGAGCAGGGGAAAGGGGCTTGTCCACAGCCACGAAGCCGATGGGAGGGGCCTGTGGTCCGATGCTCCTGGGCAAGGCACAGATGACAGTAAGCCCCAAATGTTTATTTTATGTCCCCATGGCCTCCGCCTCCATAAAAGTGTGCTGGGCTCAAGGGAACTGAAGAGCAAGGGGCAGGCTGGGAGGCACAGGCTGCAGACAGCAGAGTCTGTGAACTTCAAGGTTCCTCCCAGCCTCTAGAGTCACAGTCAGGGGGCGTCTCCTTGACTCTGGGCCTCTTCTTGGAACCAGCCCAGGACACAAGGATGCTGATTCTCGCTTTCTCCACTAGGGGCACACAGTTTGTCTTGTGCCAGCCTCACTCACACCTCCTGTCCCAAGCACAGAGATCTATGTCCGGTCTCCTGTGCTGTGTCCCAGAGCCCAATCACATACTGTTAGGTGCCCAAATTCCATCCTCTGTAATACCTCTGGATTAAGAATGTCTATTTTATTTCCCCAAAATAACAATAATTAGCTCAGATGCACAGGGGTACAGTTTCATGGGACCACCGTATTCTGAGGTGCCCCAAATCTCTGAGAGGCCAACACTGTATGTAGGCTGTTCTATATGGGAAGCCAGGACTCCGGGGGTCAGGGTGACGTTCCCAGGTTATTAGCACAAAGATTAGAAAGGTACCCGACTCACACAGCTCCTTGCTTCCTTTCCCCTCTGCCTGAGAAACCAAGGAGCCATGAGATAAGTCAGTCTTAGAATTTGACATTGACAATTTTCCATTGACTTCCAGGCGCCTGTGTTAGGGTTTCCTCATAGGCTTTTCTTTTATATTATCAGCAAGTCAGTCATGACGCACACAGGGCCTGTGAAGCCAGCCTGGGCTACATAAGACCCTGTCTCAAAAATAAACAATAGCGAAAAAACTCAACCAAACTCCTCCGAGTCTTTAACCGTGCTAGAGTGGCTGTTTGGTATTTTTTTTTTTCAGTCTGTCTTTTTCCTGTTCGCGCGGCTATACTAGGCATACCTACACTGCCCTCTTTTAGGTCCTCTCTGTCTGCTCCTGATGGGTCTGGCTGGCCTACATCCCCAGCCATGCCTGGTCTGGGTAGTGGCCTCACTCCACATGGCCGACTCTAACCCCTGTCTGGGCGCTACACTGGATGAGCGTCCCTGGCTCCAGGCTGTCTTACAGCTTTCCCCCTTTCCCTTGTCCAGGCACTGCAGGGAAGGTTCCTGGCTAACGAGGCAAGCCCTCTCATCCCTAGGCCCCTCCCCTCGGGCTTGGGGGACTGGCAGAGTAAGCAAATCTGGAAGGCTCGCAGTGTGCGCGCATGCGCGCACGTTAACAGGTGGCCAAAGAGGTTTGACAAAAGCAGCTCGGGGTGGCCCGGAACGCTGCCTGAAGATGAAGTAGGCTTCCGGGGAGACCTTCCAGGGGGCCGGTAGCGTTTGGGCAGAGTTGGTACAGAGTGGTTCTGGGTTCGTGGTAGCTGACACGGGGCCAAGGCAGGGGGACACCATCACAGACCAGTGTGCTGCGAGTGGGCGGGCTGCAGTTGAAGTTTAGAGAGCGAACGGGGCACACCAAAGGATCTTGGGAGCCACTGGGGGATTTCATAAGGGCATAGTGCAGGCTGCTTCGTGCCAGGCTCTGAGCACCTGGCATCTAACTTCTCTTTAGATCTACTGGCAATTCTGTGGTCTGGGCCCGATTTCCAGATCCATTTCAAAGGTAGCAGAGGCCCAAAGAGGGAAGGGACCTGGCCAAGATCACCCAGTCGGGGACCTCTCCCTTTCTCCTGGGCCTGTGGCAAGTTAGCACCCAGGAGGAGGGGATGCTCCCTAAGACTGCCTATTTTCTTTAGCCTCAGCATCTGCCCATAAATCACTCTGACACTTGACGAGGGGGGCGGAGACAGGCAACATCACCTCCACGGGTGAGCCATTCCCAGGCCCCTGCACTCCAGTGAGCCTGTGGTTCTTGGCTCTGGACACAGGCTGTCCAACCCTGGACTCCAAATGCCGGGCCTAGAAATAAATACCAGGGGAGGCATGTTTTCCTGGCCTGGAAGGGGGACTCAGGAGAAAGGAAGACAGCCTCACCCCTCCCCCCCTGGAAGGCCCTGGCTATCAGCTGAAGGCTGGATGGCCCAGTGCTACCCAGACGCCCTGGCCTGTGGGACGAAGTGTGGCCAGAAGCTTCTCTTTGTGTGCTTGCCACCAGCTGAGCGATGGCTCTGGTTAGTTCAAGAGTGAAACCCTAAGGAGGAAAAACACCCTCCCCGTTAGGCCTAACTGCCCCTCAACCTAGATCATGGAGGATAGAAACTAGGCTCTTTTCACCCAGAGTGGCTGGGGCCTGTTTGGAAAAGGCCTTGGGGCCTTCAAGGATCCCTGGAAGACACACCTTGGGGTTCAGGGAGCACCTGTCATTTACAGAGCTCACCTGTGCTGGGAGGTGTCACAACGCTGCACCCTGCACTCCAGAAGACCTTCTCAACTTGACAGGTCAGGCCTCAGGGCGACCTAGCCACTGTTCAGTCTGGAGCATAGCCCCAGCCCCTGGCATCCATCCCAGACCCCCTGGCCTGGGAGTTGCATTGCTCTGGACTCCAAATTCCAACATGCCATTATCCCCTGGGGAGGGGTCAGGACCATGCCCATGGGGTATTTAAGTGGGCTCCCAGAGGCGAAACACATGGTTCTGGGTTTGCATGGGCTCCCCACTTTCCTGTCTCCCCACCATGCGCTCGGCCACCCGAGAGCGCCATATTTAATAAAACGATGGGCATTTTGATTCGGTTTGATCTCGC